ATTTCAATTCTAGCAAACATCAAAGCTTCTTTTGTGTTATATGGCTTCGTAACTGATCAAAATAATAGTATTAGTTAAACTTAAATTAACTACTCACTTAAAAACCGATCATCCCTATTTTTCATAATTTTTCGCACAAGTATGAGTGTAGTTTTATAAATACGGATAATCTATATGAATATTACAGAGCTGAAAAGTTTGTTTGTTTGTTTGCTTGAACACGACAATCTCAGGAGCTGTTGGATAGCCTATTTATCGAGGAAGGCTTTAGTCATTAACATCACCCTACAGCCAATAGGGGCGGAGCAGTAAAGAAAAATGTTGCAAAATCGGAAAATATTTTTCATCACGCGTAAGAAGTCGCGGGCACAACTAGTTTTATAATACGAGTATTTTCAAATAAAATTGAGTACATAATAACGTAATTATGTTGTCCCAGGTGTGACTCTATGGTCATTATTAAAAGAACAATTAATTTTCGCGCCCATTGTTGAAAAAAATCAACAATACTGTGCAAAGGTAATAAATATACTTATACATAAATAAATGTATTGTGTACGTATGTAGATACTATATAAAAGGAAGAGAATTGGACCAAATATAGGACAATTTTGTATAAAATAATCTTAATAATTTATTTTAATAATTTGTACGTTGATTTTCTACAGTAACAACAGCTTTGAGTTATTTCAATTTGATAATAGGATGTTTTTCTATTCGAATAATGGTTTACGTAATTAGTTCTTTTGTTAAATATGGGTACTTAATTTTGCTTTATGCCCCATTTTCTTTTTTTTTAATTATCTTTGACGTTCATAAGTGCCAAAACTGGTCAAAATTGAATAAATATTTTTGATTTCGCTTCAATTGGTCAAATTCAAACACATCTCTCCTCTCCACGTTATAGTCTTTCTTCAATAAATAATTATTCCATTTTTGTGTTAAAGAGAAAGAACCCATGTGTAATAGCTAGTAATATTTTACAATGACATGGAAACCTACGTATTACAGCGATAATTACACAATAATATGGTTTTGAACAATAAAAGAACAATTGTTTAAACAACAATGGCGTAAATTGCTCGAACAATATTTATTGATGAATTATTGGGTATTATTAATAATTAGAGACTTATTCACGGTAAATTGTGTAAGTAAATGTATTTTAGTATGGTTTAGTGGTGGGGAAAGAAAGGTCCGGGTTCGAGTCCTGGTTATTTTTCTTTTCAATGACAACTCTAACTACAGTACAGTAGTAGTACAGTACAGTACTACACAAACAAAAAAAGTTGCCGTCCGTATTCACAAACATTACGATGAGGTCTCACAAAGCGCGTGGACGCACAGGGTCACGCACGAACCAATCACAGAGCGTTCGATTTGCTGTTTCACTTAAGCAAGCATCGTTTGTGGATACGGGCGTAAATGTATTCTTGTATGGTTTAATGGTGGGGAAATGCGAAGGTCCGGGTTCGAGTCCTGGTTATTATTTTAACTACAGTGTGAATTTTTTGTAGTTGATCAAACATAAAAGTTCTATTCTACTACTAAAGTATAAAAATAATATTAAAGTAGGTAACTATTAGTCAATTGATATACTTTTTTGAGTTGTCAAAACGCGACTCTATCATTGATTTTGTATGGCGAAAAGAACTAATGACATTAGGTACTTGTTCGCGAACTCAATTGATTAACTATTTAATTATTCCAAAGCTACTGAAAATATAATTTTACAACCCTATTTTGCAGATTGACAATTAGTTCGGGTTTCAGGGCTAGATTGAAGATTCGTGAAAGAAATCTGTTCTTGGAATTAATTGTTTAATAGTGTCAACTAACCAATTTTACTACAATGCTTAAAGGAGAGACACAAAACAAATAAAATTCCTTTTTTTATAATGAGTAGGTACTAGCATTTTCAGTGTTAAATTATAACGTTAACTTTTTTAATAATATGATATTATTAGGAGTGTCTCTACAAAAATTCATTCAATATAATTTCATGTTTCGTAAGATAACGATATAACAATTCTGACAATAGTGACTGAGTTTCTTGCGCTGCTTCTTCTCAGCACTAGCCCATTTATTGTCCTGAAGCAGTGGTAGGGTTAATACTGGGACGTGTAAAAGTGCTTTTTAAAAGCCTACTTGCATAAATAAATGAGTTTTATACTTTATCTGTAATCCTATCTATCGTTTATTATTAGTACACACAAATAATAAAAATTCTATAGACATTTTTACACTTCCCTATCTGCACACTTAGTTCCAAACTAAGCAATGCTTGTACTAAGTACCTAACAGAAAACGGATATGAAATAAGTTTTGTAATTAAACATAGAGAAACATTTGTACATTATTTTAAAGTATTCCTTTTATTATTTTCGACAACTAATCGGATGTTGTCTTTGCATATTGATTAGTTGAGTTTAATTATATAAAATAACTATATATTTCAAGCCGGTAGATTGACGTGAAATACAATTAAACATAAATTACAGATATTTCATGTACAATAATTAAATACATAACCTAATGTTACAATTAATAATTAGATTTAAATCCGACATATTCCATCAAAAGTGACTGAAATATACGAGTATTTCCTTCTTTCCAAATCATAGAAAAAACTGACGAATTCAAAAAGGCAACTGTTTTGTTAAATAATAGAAATTATTTTTTTAATAAAAGAAATTGTAGCAAAAAATTAGAAAACAGCCCATCTGTAATTCCAACCTATTTTTTTTTTACAAATGAAATTAATATTTTGACAGGCAAATTAATATTCTATGTGACTTATACTAGCTTTTGCCCACGGCTTCGCTTTGAAATTAAATTTGTCACAGATCATTATTTAAAGCCTATGTTATTCTGATATATAAACAATAGTATTGTAACGTTTCATCAAAATCCGTTCAGTAGTTTTTGCGTGAAAGAGTAACAAACATAGGTACATCCATACTCCATACAGCCGTACAATTCGCATTTATAATATTAACAGGATTTCGTTTCTTTTCTGTGTAAAGTGTCCCTTATGGGCTAACTTTTTTTACTGTATTTGACGTTCATATGTGCCACCAGTGGTCAAAATTGAATAAAATATTTTTAATTTGATTTGATTTCTTAGCTTTATTTCCTAAATTAGGTAAAGTATCCAGCAATATTTGGGGCCTGAATAAAGTGCCCTGAAAAGGGACTTTATAAAAAATCAAATTCGTCTATTTTACAAGTAGGCTTATTAAAAGCTCTTTTACACGTCCCAGTATTAACCCTACCACTGCTTCAGGACAATAAATGGGCCAGTGCTGAGAAGAAGCAGCGCAAGCAACTCAGTCACTATTGTCAGCCTCTTTTTCAAACATACTGGTAAAAAGTTCAATTTTTCAGTCAATAAGAAACTAGAAAAGTTACAACAAGGCGCTGGATGCAGGCCGCTACCAACCGGGCGATGTGGAAATCATTGGGGGAGGCCTATGTTCAGCAGTGGACGTCCTGTCGCTGAAGTGATGATGATTAAGGATGTTTATACAAATAACACTAAGGCCCGATTTGACCGAACTTTTATCCGAGAATAACTCCTGGTATAACTGGCACATTGACAGTTTCAGAATGGGAAATATGGCAAAACTGACGATTTATTCTGAAATTAATAATTACTCTTGTTTGGTCGAATCCACTCTAACACATAACTATTGAGAGAAAGAAAAGTTTTTACCGCTGCTTCTTTCGCAGCACTGGGCCATTTATTGTCCCGAAGCAGTGGTAGGGTTAATACTGGGACATGTAAAAGCGCTTTTTAAAAACCTAATTTCAGAAAATGAAACAACTTTTAAAAACTGAACATGCCGCGAACTCGGCGTAGTTTATAGTCGACAAACTAAGGCTGGCTTGCACCATCTTACTTTAACTTTAACAAACGTCAGAAGTCTGTCAAACTAACAAAAAACACCGGTTATGGTTATAGATTCATACCGTTTGATGAGACCGGTAAAACGTGGTCATTGTTTGCGTGATTTGCAGATATTTTAGGTAATGTGTCACTATTTTTATTCTGCAATTCTTGTTTAGTAGGTATCATTCATTTCAGCCAAATGACGTCTACTGCTGGACAAAGGCCTCCCCAAGGATTTCAATGACCGGTCCTGCGCTGCCCGCATCCAGGCTCTTCCCGCGACCTTCACCAGATCGTCGGTCCACATAGTGAGAGGCCTAACTCTAACGTCCGTATTCACAAACGATGCTTGCTTAAGTGAAGCAGCAAATCGAACGCACAGCAAATAGAGCTCTGTGATTGGTTCGTGTGTCAGCGCACTGTGAGACCTCATAGTAATGTTTGTGAATGCTGGCGTAAGTCTTCCGGTCCGTTGTCGCCACTTGACAACTTTTCTGCCCCAACTTATACTAATCTTGATTTAATTAATTCTCTATGTTTACGATGACTTTGACAAATGCCTAAATTAAACATTTGCTTAAAGTGCACTGACATTCCGACAAGTCAAATTCCAATTAATTAACACCAAAATATTTACGCCATTATAGTTTTAATGCCCAAATTTGCATATTCAATGACATTTTTAAACTTTAATTAAGTATATTTGTAGCAATTAGTGTTTTTATAAGCCGGAAAAGAATGTGTTAATTAAATATAAAAAATTTAAAAGCTTCTTATGCAGGTTTTGTTAAAACGTTAGGTACGACGATTCGGGGTTTGTTGAATTATTTCTTAATTAGTGTTTTTATGTTATAGTTTTTTCAGTAAACTGAAGCAGGAAATAGCGTTTCGTTATTTTACTAATTGCGCTTTTAACACTTAAAGTTTTTAGTTATTCTTTTAATTGTGGCAGTTTAGCTTTTTATTTTTGTTTCATTTGTAGATTATAAACTTTTTGCTCTATATCTCACACAGACTATATTTATGAAGTTTTTTTTTTCAAACTCCTTAAACGAATTTGAGCGTAAACGTAAGTTTATCATTATAAAAACAGTTTAAAAAAGCTTACCTCAACTCAAAATCAGCTGTAAATCCCACAGTAATCCGCCATAACATACAACATTAACATTATTGTACCGTCAGGTCTCAACTACATTTCACTCACACACTGTTTCACCGATAACCGTTTCGCCGTAAAAAAACAAACTGTCAACTGTCAAAAACGCGCGGGAAAACCTAGGGGGGCTGTGGAAAACCTCCTTTTATTAAGCAATTGGGAAATTTAACCTGAAACTTGTATGGACATACGCAAAACTCGGTTGGGACTGGCGAATACGACCCGGTCTCCCCTCTCCACGGAGGCGGGGCTTGAACCAAGCAATCGGAAGGCGGAGCCATTTTTTCTTTCTGTCCGCAACTATCGTTTTATATTATTTTCGGTTGCTTATTATAATGTAATGATGTTTGATTTAAATAAAGGTAAAGTTGTCATTTCGGTCTGAGGCAGCTTGTAGGACATAAAGATGTTTTGAAGGGTGGGCAGGGCAGTTTGTATTTTACAAAGAGATGTGTTACAATGGGGAAGGTTTAAAATTTAATTGTGTCGTCAGATGATGAAAGGTATTTTCTAATAAATATTCATACTGAACTACACATTTACACTAAATAAATAAAACGAACCTCCTCGTTTTGTTAAAGTCGGTTAAAAATTAGGGTCTTTTGGGTCGAATGATGACTGGTAGGTACCTACATAATGCTCTATGCGTTAAGTTCGTCTCTATCATTGGAATTTTTGTGCAATCAGTTTAAAATTAACTAAACACTTAAACATTTTGCTAGGTAATTTGGAATTTTTTAAGCTTTTTTTAAAGGCTTTTTTATAAAGCTCTAATTTTTAGTAATATTATTTTAAATTCAGTTCGAAGACCTGATTTGCCTATTTTAATTATTTAAGTTAGTTATCCTACCATTACAATAAAAAATAGTATCTCGAAATTCTGTTAAATTCACACAAAAAGTAACAGACAGTTAGGTATTTATTTTATTTTATTTATTTTTTAAGTAACTACGCATTACAAAGTGTTCATATTTTTTTGCAAAATTATTTTTACTATTATAACCAATGTCACGATGTTTTTAAAAACATAGCACGCTTACTTTTGTGACTCTAGGCTGAGTTACACCAACTAACATTGACCGCAACTATAACGATAACCGGTGTTTTTTGTATGGAGATTGACAGATTTTTGACGTTTGTCGAAGTTAAAGTAAGATGGTGCTACCCAGCCTTATCAACAACAATAGAAGACTGTGGAATATTTTTATCAACAACCTAAGTATGTAGCGATTCACATTTAACGATATTTTGAATTTGAAAACTTAAGTATCAAATCTTATTACCTACATTGTACACAAAACTAGCAAAAAATACGTCTATTGCAATGTTGGAAATAAATTTAAATTCTAGGACATAATACCTAACTAATACCGTTCATCAGAAATAATCTAGGATTCTAATATGGTGAAAGAATTTTTCAAATCGGTGCAGTAGTTCAGAGCCTATTCAATACAAACAAAGAATCAAATCTTTCCTCTTTATAATATTAGTATAGAAGTTTAGATATCACGTCTCTACCAATAATATTGGTAATTGACACTACCATACAGTTTATGAGCTGTCAAAATAACTCTCTCATACATTTTGTATGGGAAAGACAGGCATCGTTTCGCTAACTCAATTGACTGACTAGTACTTATTTATGTCAAAGCTAAAAGAAAACTTGTTTTTATATTTAATTGAGAAGTAATTGAATTTACAACACTTGAATTTTGTGTATAAGTAGTTCTTGCAACTCACGAAGGCGAGTGAGCTTTACTTGTGTGTGTACGTGTACATGCACATAACGATGATGTAATGTCTATCAAAACTTTTGGAAATCTATCTGGGGGCACGGCAGTGCCCCCACCAAGTCGAGCAAAAAAGCGGCACGGCCGTACCATCCTTTTCTCGAAGCAATTCAGGCCATTTTCGACCGCCTGTAACTTCGTTGTGGATAAAACTAGAAGGCTGAATTTTCATTAGCTATGCAGGAATTGTAAAGACACGGTATATTTAAAATTTCATTCAATTTGAACCAGTAGTTTAAGAATTATAACGGGTCAAAGTTACTTAATTTTGTCACTCACTGACTCACTGACTGACTCACTGACTGACTCACCGATCATCAAAACTCTAAGGCACTTCTAGCAGACCTAGAAGCTTCAAATTTGGAATATAAGTAGTGTTTGGTGTATGAATCAAGGAAAAACTAAAATATTTGGGGGCACGGTAGTGCAACCGCCAAGTCGAGTAAAATTTTTCATTTTCGGTCCAGTTTTCTAGATACATAACTGCTGTCTACAAAATACAAAAAGAAATGAGATTTGGGGGCACGGTAGTGCAACCGCCAAGTCGAGTAAAATTTTTCAATTTCGGTCCAGTTTTCTAGATACATAACTGCTGTCTACAAAATACAAAAAGAAATGAGATCCCATCAAAAACAATACTTGTCAAAAAAACCAAGTCTCGCAACTCAGTTGTTCTACGGTAAAAAGTTGTGAGATCCATGTAATACCAAGTCCAGGCCAGGAAATCTTTAACGTTTTACATAAATATATTGACTTGGCCATCGCACTAAATAATTTAATTTACACGTGTTTTCATGCGATGGCCAAGTCAATATTTTATGTAAAACGTTAAAGATTTCCTGGCCTGGACTTGGTATTACATGGATCTCACAACTTTTTACCGTAGAACAACTGAGTTGCGAGACTTGGTTTTTTTGACAAGTATTGTTTTTGATGGGATCAAAACTTTTGGAAAACGAACAGTAGTAGCGAGCCACCACACATGTAAAGCTCTCTCGCCTTCGTGGATTGCAACAACTACATAATATGATTATACTTTTAGAAAAGTTGCGACTTGAAAGATCTTGAAGATGAATTATTTGTTAACTAGTTGTCCCGACAGAAGTTGTCCTGTCTTAAGAAAACATAATATAGCCGCTAAGTTTACTCACTTTCTTAAATTTTCCGCGCAGCTTACTTAATTTTTCTTACATGAAAACCTCTTGACAGTAACAAACACAACAAAAAAAATTAGAAAAATCTGTCCAGCCGTTCACGTGTGATGCCGTGACCAAGGAAAGTTTTTATAAATTTCTATTTCATAGTCATCATTTCAGCTACAGGACATCCACTGCTGAACATAGGCCTCTCCCAATGATTTCCACATCGCCCGGTTGGTAGCGGCCTGCATCCAGCGCCTTCCTGCTACCTTTAAGAGGTCATAATTTCATAGTTACTTTTAAATTTTAATAATTAGGCTACTAAACCTAAGTATACCTACTTAAATAAATTACAAATTGACTCTACATTTGAAAATATAATTCAAAAAATAAAAAAAACCAACGAAGAAAACTTCTAGTAAGGCTTAATTCTGAATCGACCTTAATTGAGCATCATTTCATAAAATCTTGACCGATCCACATTGATCATTATTCATTACAAAATATTAAATTAAATAAAAAAATAACTTGCTAATCCATGAACCGCCATTTGCGAACATAACACCAATAAAATGGTTAAGCAAATTGTAGATAATTAAGAAGCTCCTTTCCGGGCGATAAAAAGAGGGGTTCGCCCCCTATCGCCCCTCCGTTTCGCCCCCTCGTGTTTAAAAGTAAAAAATCTCCCGAGCCGGACTTTTTAATTAGTCACCATTTTTAAGTATGCTTTAAGATGGATGGAGCGTTTGAATTTGATGTTCACTTGATTACAAATAATATTGAAAAAAAACCCGACTGCGTTTTCTGAAAAATATAACTATAACGATAGCCGAAGTTTTTTGTATGAAGTTTGACAGATTTTTGACGTTTGTTAAAGCTAAAGTAGTAAGATGGTGCAACTCATTATTAAATCAAAAATTAAAAGTAGGTAAATAATTATGAAACCTACCCAGTGTCACTCTCACAATTGAGAGTTATCTAACGGACACTTCTCAAGCTAAAATTCATTATACTACATACTAGCTAACCCGGCGAACTTCGTACCTAGTTCATCAGAAATAATGTAGGATCTAGGAATCTAATGGTGAAATAATTTTTCAGTAGTTTCAGAACTAAAATATTTTTTACACTAGAAAATCATAACCTTCCTTCTAACGCAGTCGGGTATCTACTATATTTGCGTAAGAAATAACTTTTCTCCACTTACCGCTTATGGACTCCATAGTAGAGTAAATTCGGAGAGTCATACTGTGACAATATTTTCAATCGTGTTTGACAGATCTGTGAAAGAAATTAAAATAAATTCAACATTTAAAAAATTTCGATCAAAATCTTAATCTCTATTTTTAATGTTCATTACATGAGAAATGATAGATTCACCCCCAAGCTATTTATTATTTTTATTAATTTTATAAAAGAGAAAATACACGAAAAATAAACCAAATTCACTAACTCCTTAAATGAGAAATGATAGCTTCCCCCAAACTATTTATTCTTTTTATTAATTTTGTAAAAGAGAAATACGAAAAATAAACTAAATTAATTAGTTCAAAAAAACGTATAAATCAAATTGCTTCAGTATAACTGCTGAAAAGATTTATGATGTAAAAAAATAAAAAATATAGTTCAACAGGAACTGGCTATTTTTACATCGAATAGTACCTATTATTTATAGCAATAAATAAAGCTACTGACAAGACAACTGCTGACAACGCCATTCTTGTGGCGGAGTTTTGGGCCGACGCTGTGTAGGTTTGTTGTCGACACGACAAGAAGAAGAATCAAGTCGAATAACATTGACATCGAGTTACTGAGACTCTTGCGTCTCTATTTGAGTCCATTTTAACCGACTTTAATAAAAGGAGGAGCGTCTCTTTATAGGTACCTAATCTTTTTTTATAAAATTACTAGCGGCCGCCCGCAATTTCGTACGCGTGGATCCCGTTTTACCTCCTTAGGGGTAGAATTTCGTAAAATCCTTTCTTAGCGGATGCCTAAGTACGTCATAACATCTACCTGCATGCCAAATTTCAGCCCGATCCGTCCAGTGGTTTGGGCTGTGCGTTGATAGATCACTATGTCAGTCAGTCAGTCAGTTAATCACCTTTGAGTTTTGTATAAATAGATATTTACCAAAATGTCGGATTTTATTACAACAGACTACACAAACACATTTATTTACTGTAGATATTTATGTAGGTACATTACGTAGAGTTAGATAACTTCTTCTGTTACTACTTCAAGTGTGAACTTCCAAAGCTCAACCT